GGCCATGGAAATCTTGTCTGATTTCCTTGGATTTCATATTCTTTCTTTGCAGATGGCTCAGAGAATCTCTATACCTCTTGTCCCTTCTAGTTTTAAGATTCTTTGAAATAACCTCTACCTATAGAGCCAAATTCTGACCCAGCCTGGTGAATCCTTCAGCCCCATTGCTGTTTTGTTACTACCTGGTCATCATGTTCAGTGGAAGGACTTTTTTTCAATTTTTATTGGTGTATGTTTGGAGTTTATCGCAATCATATTCCTTGTGGGGAGTTGGTATTATGTACATAACACATCTTAATTGTGTTTTGTCCTCTTCCTCTTCCCTCTGTCCTCTCTGTCTCTTTATCCTCTTCCCATTTGCAAAAGATCTGTCTCCTTATGTCCTGTCATCTGTCTTTTATTTTGCTCTTTATTTATATATTGGGTTTCTCATATAAGACAAATCATGTAATATTTAAGCTTATGTGTCTGATTTATTTAACTTAGCATTATGGTCTGAGGGTAAGTTCATTTTCCTACAAATAACTCAAAACTTCCCCTCTTTATGATATTTTAATGGACATGAAAGATGTCCAAATTTCAATCTTAACTCCATTCCTTACTGCCTCTGAGACTTAAAATCATTCACTTGACATTTCTAGATCCTCTTTCTTAAAAAAAAAAAAGAAAGTAAAAATAATACGTATTGGCCTAAACAGGTTATAATAAGAATTAAGTCTAAAAATGCATATAAATCATAAGGGAGTGGTGATTTTAAGAAACAGTGCTTTGGGGCCTGGTGATTTAGCTCAGTGGTTCCACACCCTGCTTCACAAGTGCAAAAAGTTCCAAAAAGAAAAAAGAAACAATGCTTTGAACTTTCTTAAAAGTATTTATTTTTTAAAAAAGTCTTTAAAATATTGCACACTGTGTCAGCCTACTCAGGCTGTTTCATCAAAAGAGGAGACCAGGCTGTGGCAACAGCAGTTTTTTTCCGAGTTCTGAAAGCTGTGCAATCCAAGACCAAGGTGCAGACAGATCTGGTTCTTAGTCAGGGCCTCCCCATGGCTTGTGGATGACTGCATTCTGCGTGTGTCTTTAAACGAAATTGCTTTGTGATTCTTCTCTTTCTCTACCTTCATCAATTCATTGAACCAAATTACTTCTCAGAGGTCCCTTAAAACTACCATATCGGGGCTTAGTAATTAAACATAGGAATTTGAGAGCGAATAGATATTCAGTCCGTACATATGTTCTTTCTGGGAGAAAGGTGTTAGCGTAATTGAGACATGTTTTGACATGCCCAAAAGAATTCAGGTTATTAACAGTTTGAATGACCTTAGTTTTTTATTAACATTTTAACAATAGGGCAAATGGATACCAACTCAAAATGTCAACAGTGAGGTCATCTTTAGCATTTCCATGTGTCATAAAATTCTATGAAAACGTGTCATTTTTAAGGAACTGTACAGATAAGCAAGATTATGTCCTCATTTTGTGGATGGAGATATTAACGTGGTTAGAAGCTGAATTTTAACAAATTGCTATGTAGAGATAGAGACTGGTCCTAAATTGATCATCTATATTGTGTCTTTGGTAGCGGCTACTTCAGCATTCTGAGATAAAGAGTGTGTTGTTTAAAGATTTGTTTTCACCAGGGCTTATGCAGAGATATGGAGGTTTTCCTAATAGTGCGATGATTCTGTTGTGCAGGTTGAAAGTCACTGCAAAGAACATTTCCCATACTCCTTCAGTTAGATGTAAAACTGAGAAGTTGAGAGATAGCAGAAGGGTGTCATGACTAGCAGGGTGGCTAATGCAGGGGAAGGAACACAGGCTTTGAGGAGGTCAGACCTAGGAGGATACTCCATTCCACCTCTACTTAGCTGTGTGACCTTGAGAGAAGTAGTTTTAGCTTCTTAAGCCTTCAGTTCCATGTCTACAAATTGATAATAATAGAAGTGCCTGGTACATAATAAGCACTCACCAGCCTTCAACTTCTTTTAGTAGCAAATCTAAGACTAGCAACCATAATGCTTAACTCCAAGTCCAGTGTGCTTTCTATTATAATTTGTGTTGCATGAGTAACATTGCTTTGAACTGAGACTATTAAGTGCATTCTTAAAAACTTTGTCTTTCAAAATCAATCTGTTCAGATTTTTAATAACGCAAGAAAGATGCTTGAAGTTGGCCTACAGAGATTTTTATGAACCAAAGGGTTATTTTTAATTGGATTTGTGCCTGTTGTTATGGAAATACTTGTTTCATAGATTACACATTATGACTGTAATGCAAGATGAAGCCCAGAATGGGGTATAACAATGATATCATCCTTATGCTTTTATTAGTGGACAAAACAGATATAGAATTAAAAGATCATGAGTAAAGTGGCTTCAAAAGCACACATTTATAAGAAGAAAAATATCTCCCCTATAAAAATAACTTTAAAATGATATATTCTCTTTTCAAAGATCAAAACTAAGGATGACCCTAGCTGCCAGTAGGATGCTCAGCAGCTGTAGCTTTGCTAAGCACCTCTCTCTCCCTGACTGAAATGGGAAAGAGTTCCTTTGATCTTGGGACTTGCTTTCAACATTTGGTCTCACAGCATTTCTGCAGTTGCTGAACTAACAGGCTTCCTGTTGCTATTTAGTAGTCAACATCACAAAATAGTTTGGTCCAGAAGAATGTTATTCATGTATTCTGGATCTGTAATATAACTCTTCTAAAGAAAAAAAAAATATGAGTTCTAAGCTTAACAGTGGTTGGTACTGTAAATTCACTTTGCAAACATTAGATTGTATCACTGGCTAATTTTAAATCCCAGGGGCATGCTAGTCAAGGAAGGACAGGGTTTATTAACACCAGAGGAGAAAAACTCCAGGGCTGTGTGGATAACCCAGAATTCAGAATGCAAACTGTGATCTTATGAATGTATGCCCCATATTTCTTCTGCTTGCTTCCCTGGCTTTATTTTTTTGTCCCTTCTTTTCTTTCCCCTACTCACTGGACTGTAACTTTATAATCTCGTATGTCCTTCTGTGACCCTTAGACATCAGTCTTGCCAGCAGAATTTGTTTAAAGAAATTTCAGGCCCCGTTCATGAAATTTAACGATGTGAAGTGTTATGTTAATTTATTGTTTTCTTTGTTAATTTATGTAGCAGCAAGTTTAAAAGTTTTTAAAAAGGCAGGAAAGACACTTGCCAGCAAATAATATACACATGGGTGATCAAAACATACAGTTAAATTTCAAAAACATTATCAAGGAAGACACATTACCATCTGTCCCCCTCAAGCCACCCCCCCTTGCTTTGAACATGCTTGTTCCGTTGTCATTCTCATTTTCTGAATCACTTCTGAAAGTGCTCCTTTGTTAGTGTCTTTATGAGATATGATTTTTAAAAACTACATTGAATGCTGGTGTGAAGTGCCGTTCAGTGAAAAGGAAAGTCCCTCTCAGCGGTTATGGTGAGTCCTCAGCTGCCGTATCCAACAGACCCGGCACTGTGCGACTTCTAGCCCTTCTCTGAGGTCAGACATGACCATGAAAGGTCAGCGTTTTGAAATTACTCAACCTGCTGAGGCAGCCGCAACAGCGCAACTACATTTATAAACAACTGCATTCATTTCCAGAACTGCTTCAGAGGGCCGGGCATTTAGCTCAGTGGTTCCGCCGCCTGCATTGCAAGCGCAAGGACCCAAGGCCCATCCCGGGTACCAAAAAAGAAAGAAAGAAAGAAAAAAAAAAGTCAAAACTGCTTCAGAAAGTAGAAAGAATGGCTGGGTAAGTGTGTTTGAAACAAAGGGGAGAATTTTGAGGGTGATTAATGGCAATATGTCTTTGACTCTAATAATTTTTTTAAAGTTTGACATTCCTCATATTTTTTATCACATCTCATATTTTAATATATTTTTCTAAATGAATCATACTGGCTTAATAGATGTAGTTATTTTAATAAAAATTCAGTTACATCAAAAGCATTTTTCCTTCCTTTGTTACTGATAAACATAGCTCAACTTTGTCATTTTAGAAATTCCCACTAAATACCTTTTTAAAATACTAGGTCTATTCTAAATCTATTTATATTTACACTCTATTTCTATACATATACACAGGTTCACAGGGTGTTAGTTTCTCAGCTGTTTATACTGCCTTCCTTTAATTTTTTTTTCTTTTTGTCAACTAGCTAGTAATCCATGTCTTCTAATACCCTTTTCCCGCCTGACACCACCCTAGACCCTTCCCAGCTCGGCCTTCTCTGTTTCAGTCTGCTTTCTCCAAGTCAAAACTTTCACTCCATGTGCAGAAAGAAGCTCCTTCACCACATGCTAAGACTTGTAGTGTACTGGTCTGTTAGGTCGAAGAAGGGGTTTTACACAGAATAATGCACAAATGTAGGAGGCCAATGAACCTGACAGCTTGGTGAATGCTGGAGTTGCATGACGTAAAATGGAAGAGCAGGAGTCCCCCAACACGGTACCCAGAGCCGCTTGCAGAGTCCAACCTGTCACTTGTCCTTTCACTGAAAGTGGCTAATGACCTAGATCACTTATCCCAGAGATTTCATGGCTGCTAACCACTTCACAAGAAGGAAAGAGATCATTGCAAAAATTTGATAATTCCTTTAAAGAAAGTGTGCAAATTGAGAGGCTTCCCAGTGCTATATTGACTGTACCTACTTATGACAACAGGTTAATTCACTTGTTTCAAATTGATGAATAATGTTTAAAGATTCTTAAATTTTCACACCTGAATGTTTGTTAACTAGTCATTTTCCTTGCTTGCTATGACTCTAATGGGCTTGAAAATTGGTCCAGCCAGTCTCTTTCATCTCTCCTCTCTTCTCTCATTTCTTTTTCTTCTCTCTCTCTCTCTCTCTCTCTCTCTCTCTCTCTCTCTCTCTCTCTTCCCTCTCTCTTGCTTTCCCCCCTTCTTTGTCTCTTTCTCTCACTTTCTGTGAGGTTCGTTTGCTTGACTGATTCTGAGTGTCCATAATGACTGTTTGGCATATTCTACAGGCAAAGGTCCCGAGACCCTTTTTGCTGGCTATAACCTCAATGACAATGAATGGCACACTGTGCGTGTGGTTCGTCGAGGAAAAAGCTTAAAGTTAACGGTGGACGATCAACAGGCCATGACAGGTAAATGCCATGTTCTTACCTCAAAGCTGGAGACTTTCTCATTTCTTGCACGTGGCGAATGTTGGCACAGAATGTGAAGCTTATACACACAGTGCATTTTTAATTCCAGTGTGTAGTGACAACTTCATTTAATCAGCAATCCAAGAAATACTTCCCACCAAGTGAACAGAACTTTTTAATGTCATGTTCTTTGTCCTTTAAAAATTCAGGAAGAAATTACAGTATATTTTAATTTAGTGCCTCGATAAATATCTTAGTGCCTCATAAAATATTGAAGCTACCATGTGAATGCCACTTTGTGTTCAGATTCTTTCTTATATATTTTGATGATGAAAAGAAGAGAGTTCTACTTTTTACTTTCTATATAAATTGATAGATAAACTGACATTCTGTCAGGTGAACTACTTTTATATTCCATTATATGAACTTCTATTATATGATCATATAATAGATCATTTTAGGTCATTTAGCTCAGTTGATTAAAATCTAATATTAAGGATGTCAAGTTCAATTCTTAATTCATAGAATCCTTGCTGAGGTGAGCTTTATAAAGATCCACCCTAGAGACAAAGGGAAGACAAATGAAAGGGAAATCAGCACACCTTTATCTTCTCTGAAATAAATCCAAGTACATGACCCACTGAGATATTAGGCCCTTTTTCTTTTGTAGAGAACATTTCTGCTTTAATTATCTCACTGCAAAGCACACGATGGTCCTTGTGCTGTAGCAACAAGTCTGCTCTGCACTCAATCCCAAGAGGTTCCCATGCTCAGAGAATGGTCCACTCTATCAATATGGAAATAGCTTGTATGAGATTATAACTCGTGAAGCTGTCATTTGAGAGTTCAAATAAAAGAGCTACCAACTCAGGGTACCTTTTACTGTCCTACATTTCACCAGCCCAGTATGGCTTTCCAAGTTTTCTTTTTCTACATGTTGTGGAACTTGGCTGTGTAAATTTACTTTGTTGCACAACCATCTGAAGAGCTTTAAAGGAAGATGTTGGAGCCTTACGCCACAGGAAGCCTCAGGAGGAGCCGAGTAGTTTATTTTGCTTCATACATTTGCAGGGGTCTTCAGTCCAGCTGATGTGCAGATCTACATTTAGAAGCCTCTGCTATGTTTGTGCCATTTTATTATCTGAGGAGGAAAATCAAGTAGACTGTTGTTAGCATACACCATTGTTCTAGACTGCCAAGCACCGAAAGACTCTGCAAGAGTCATCTAAACGGAGGGGAGGAGGCAGAGTTTTTACAGGGCTTAGGCAAGACAGTGTCCACTGTCTTAGTTTAGATAGTTTTGGTCAGGGCAGTTGTTGGAAGAAAAATAGATTGCTCTTGTAGGTTAATATTCATTATATAAACATTAGAATTTTATCTAAAGGAATGAAAATAAACAAGATCTAAAGTTAAGATCAAGAGGTATGGACTAAAGAGCTGCTAGGGGCAAAAACATACAAAAGCGCAACAGAATGTTCTCTAATCTCAGAGTTTCAAAAGCACAGAGCCCTGTGAAGTAGATAGGGTGGCATATATATTTCAATTTTAAAGTTGAGGAAAGGTACTCCAAGAGGATTCATGAAGTACGTTTCATTGAAATTCTGTTGTTAACAGAACTTAGAAGAGAGCCTAGATTTGGTTTTAGGTTTTTGTTTTCTGTGGTTGTTTTGTTGACTCTTTGTCTATTCCCTTGTATTCACTATCATCCTACTAAGTGTTTGGCTGTTTGCTAAATACTTGCCTAGCCATGACATCATGTTATTAGGGTAAGAAATACTTGATAATACAGGGTAGTTAGGGATGTATTGATGTATTACATAAGCAAATCATACTCTTAGAGTCAGAAGACAGATTGAGGAACTTGGTTTCAGTGCTAGTTTAAACCAGTAAATAATATTTGAACCAGGCTTTAAAGAAATAATGATTTAGATGATAAAAGTATGGAGAAAGGCCTACTTAGGATCTCAGCTACTCAGAAGGCTGAGGCAAGATAATCTCATGTTCAAAACCAGCTGGAGCAACTTAAGAAAACTGTCTCAAAATATAAAGAGGGCTGGGGATGTAACTCATTGCTGCCTGGGTTCAATTCCCAGTACAGGGGTGGAGGCGAGGTCTTATGTGGGAGAGTTTTTGGCCTAAGAAAGAATGAAGAATGACACGGATAGGGCTAGACAGATTTATGTTCAGGAAGTGTTTTTTACTTCATGTGACCACATGATGATTGTACAATTGGAATGATTTTTGGAGTCAAGGAATCAGTAGGCAAAACAGGTCTTTTCAGATCATGCAAGTCACTGCATTTAAGCTGAAGAATTATTATTATTATTATTATTATTATTATTATTATATATATATTTTTTGCTTTTTTGAGACAGGATCTCACTATGTAGTTGAGACTGACCTGGAACTCACTATGTAGCCCAGGCTGGTCTCGAACTCACAGCGATCCTTCTGCCTCAGCCTCTCGAGTGCTGGGATGACAGGCGTGCACCACCACACCACGCCCAGCATCTGAAGAATTATTTTTGAGGAAACGAATCCTGTAACAGTGTATTACACAGTCTGTAGTAAATACTAAACTATAAAGCTCCAAGAGTAAAAATAATGCAAAGAACAATAGTGTGCACTCACTACTGTAAGCGTTTCATCCCATTTGCTTGGACATTTGAATTTCTCATGCCCACCCTGTCTCTTTCCTTAATCAAGGAGAAATGACATAGATAGCGTGCAAGCAACTTTGGTACATTTTGCATTGACACAATATTTTCATATATGCCACCTTTCATATTCCAGTTTTGTCAGTTGAGTCATTGTTGTATCAATATTTTCCTACCTCAGCACAAAGGCTTGACCATTTATTTTCCATTTAAATTAGGAATAATACAAATAGTGTGCTCATCATTACTAGGATAGCTTAGCTTCTGGATCCTTTCAGCATTAAAATAGGAAATATATTCAAGTTCGCACCCACACTTCAGTATGCATATATACGCACTCTCATATTGAACTTGCTTGTGTGCATCAACATGTAGACAGGCACACTTTCCAAAGCACGACTTTACATTGGGACCTCCTTATTTACACCACTGTTTCTTGATTTCCCACATTACATATATCCGTAAATGTTCTCCGAGATGAAAACTTGGCTCCCAGTAATATCATTTATTCATTTGCTCAATCTTATAATGCATCTAAAATAGTTCCGTGATTGCTTTGCCTATACCAATTAAATCCGTAAACACACTAAAGAGAATTCAGGATTACTTTGTGATTCTTCCTATTCCTCTCATTCTAAGATCAACACATCTACACCAACGCTGAGTGTGTAAATAATAGGCCTGCGTCCTCATGGGAAAGCGTTCACCTTATATCCATTATACTCAAGCCCCTGCTCTCCATCATTTTGTACATCATCACTAAGTCTTACAGATGATACCTGAAAAATCATTTTGTCCATTTTCTACTGCAGCTACTCTAATAAACACACATACACACACACACACACACACACACACACACACACACACACACGTTCCTAGTATGTGGGATGCCTGGGAGAGATCTGGCCTTTGGTGTCCTTTTGGCCTTGTGTAAGCCACGGGCCTCACTTCCTTGTGACTCTAGCTTGTGCTTCTCCCGAAAGCTTGCTTCGTTTTTCTCTATCCTAGAATTCACCTGCTGACTCCTTTCTACATGTTTTGTTATTGCTTTTGTTTAGTCCATCAAGTCTAGCCTGAATATGCTCTCAGCTGCCTGCTCTCACTCCACATGCACCAGGAGAATAACCCACTCATCAAATTCATCTTTCTGAGTTCTTTTAATTATATATTTAATTATATGCTTTTGAGTCTGCCTTCCTCTGATAGGGTGCAAGTTTTGTGAAAGCAGGGGCCATGTCTGCTGCTCTCAACACTGTTTCTTGATTGCATAGCACAGCACAGTGTGTCTACATGGAGCACACAATAACTCTCAGCTCATGAACAAATGGATTTATTGCCCAGAGGTCCCACATCAGAAATTTAACCCACCTCAGAGCAAGCAACTGCTCTCTTCTCTTTCTTTCTGATGAGGAGTAATGGTTATTCCTCATCACTAGATGGTTAGATGTGGGTGTCTTTTCTGACCATTTTAACAGGCAGAGCTAGGAAATGTATACAAGTATAGACACCTATACCTGTTTGTACATGTAAGCATCCACACATACATGCAAATTGCATATGTGCATAAGCATGTATACACATATTTTAGAACTATAAAAATCTTGCTCCATAAAATACTCATAACACGTTTTTGCTTTACAGTTTATTTGTTCTTACTCACTGAACATGCTTATGGAGAAGATGAAAGACACATTAAAGTTATGAACAGAAAATATGTTAAGGGAACCGGCCCCTGTGTTTCTAGTGGATAATTGCCTTTAGGTGTTAATTCTCCCCCATGAGAAAGCATATCTGCCACAACTGTTTATGAGATTTACGTATGCTTCTTAGAATGAAAATAAACTTTTGAACGTGGATCATAAGGTCTTCTTTTCCTCATATCTGGGCCAGGGTTGCTTCAACACTGTTTTGATACCTTTCTATTGTTTAAGCTCTGCATAGATACTTGATTCTGTTGAGAAAGAAAAACAGATGCTAAGTGTTATTTCTGTTAATGAACTTCTCAGTCTTACTAAAGAAAATGTTCTCCCCTATTTCAGAGCTGCTGGGAACTTGACAGTTTGGGATAGTATTTAATATTAAGCATTAGAAATGTTTTTCTGGATATGACATTGGCCTTTTGCAGTAGAACCTTGAAGAAGAACTCTGGCAGTTTCAGGAGTGGAGTAGGATTCACTGAATTAATACACAGATTTTGATATACCCCCAAATAAAAATTAACACATAGCAATTTCAAAGACAAGTCATTTTTTTCATGTTTCATTCTGTATGGCTTATTGATTCAATGTTGCTAATGTCTCTAGATTTTTATACTGGAAAATTAGCAAAGACTGATTTACTATCAATGAGGTAGACCCCACAGAATAGTATTGCGGTCATTGAAGAAGAAGTAAGGATAATAAGATTACTGACATTGAGAAATGGGAAGAAAGGAGCTAAAGGTGTAGGGAAGGTGGGATGGGTAGGCGAAGGGTAAGAAGGGAAGAGAAAAAAATGTGAGATAATGAAAAGATGGAAATAAAGTGGTTGTAGATGGGGAGGGGAGGAGGGGGTGAAGGGAGGGCAGAGGTAAGGGGAAAAAATGAGAACCAAGACCTGTCATGTAGAGGTACAAGATCCCAACAATGAATGTAACTGTACTGTATCCCTAAAATGTACCAATAAACTCAATTAAAGCTGAAAAAAAAAAGAAGTAAGGAGAGAGAAATAATGTCATAGGATAAATCAGAACTGCTAAGAATGTAATAGTATTTCGCATAAGACACACAATCAGAACGCATGGTGATAGTAGGAAGAGAGAAGAGATAAGTAGAATGGCAATTTCTGTTTTAAAAAATGCGGAAAGGAAATCAGAGCCCAGTGATGGCTGGCAAGAGAGTATGGCAAGGATGTCTGGAGTGCTCTCATGAAAGATTAAGGACACGTAAAGAGGATTTGAAAATATTACAGTTAAGTACAGTAGAGGGAATTATCCTTTATACCCATGCATTTATAATCATCAAAGTTAATCAGTTATGTATATAAAAAGTTTTTCTTGTGTCACAACAAGCACACCTTTTATATTTTGCTTTCAGGCAATTCTTTAAGATGCTATACAATATATCTTACCCATTTCCGTTAAAGACAGGAAAGCCCGTCGGTCTGGTCTAAGAAGCACATGTGGAAGGGCATTCAGTCTTCATTAGACATGGGAAGAAGGGTCAGTGCCTGTTCTCAAGGCCTGATTCTACGATTGGCCCTACTTAATATTTGCATCCATGTCATGGATGATGGGGTAAGGTAGGCTCGCTAAATTTTCCAATTGTGCTGAACTGAGTGGGGAAGCCATCCAAGAACCTGGCTGGCAGAACTTCATTGTAATTTAAATGACCTTTACGAGTTGCAGCACAAAGTAATGACAGTTAATTAGATAAGAACAAGATGCTTGGGAAGGAACTGCTAGCCGAGCCTGCTTTTTAATTTGTATCCTGCTTTATTGTTTAGGAAATAAGTTCACAACTTTATTTGTTTACTTTCAACCTTAAAGGAAGTTAGAACCATCACTCTGAAGGGAAAGATGGGACGAGATTGGCTTTTAATGAGTTTGAGGTGAACATGGTGGGGTGGAGAGGGGGAGAGGATGATTTGAGCAGTGAGCCTTTGTGTCTGCCACCAAGCTTCCTGCCAGGATGTTTAAAGAAGATTGTACCTGGTGGTAAGGTAGGCTAATCTTACAGGTATTTTCAAAATTGCTCCTGCTTTCCATGAGTACGCAGTAGTCAGCGTGGTTATGCTATGCCAAAGTGCAAGAACCATTGAATGATATAGCTCCAGGGGTCAGCAGAATTTTTGTAGTGTTAGCCTAGCAAATGCCAGCAAAGATCAGGGAGGATGAAAGAACACATTTAACTCCAAGTACATTTAAATGGCTTATTATTGGAAGAAAAGTCAGCAGCAGTTCACTATTTAAAGAAAAGCATCCCCTAACCTTACAGGTGAAATGTACGAATTCCTAATGGGGTGATGCGGGACCACCATTGCCCTCAATCCCTCCCTCACTCCCTTTTTCTTACCTTTGCCTTCTCCCTTCCTCTCTTTCATTTTCTTCCTACCTCCTTCCCTTCTTTCCTTTCATTCTTCCTTATCATACATATTTTGTAACTTATGTTATTGAAGAGGATTTTTGTTAAGACCTAACACTGGAATAGGGATCAATACTGACCTGATAAAATGCTATGGTGAAAACCAGGCTTACGCTTTTCTTAGGTATTTTTCCTAGTATACAATTGATTATCAAGGAAGTATTATTTTTGTGTGTTTTAAAATATATGGTTGCCATAGAACTCAAAGCTGAAGGTGCCTTTGGCTACGACAGTTTATAACGTATAAAATCTTTTCTTTTAGGCCAAATGGCAGGTGACCATACAAGGCTGGAGTTCCACAACATAGAGACTGGCATCATCACAGAACGTCGATACCTGTCCTCTGTACCCTCCAACTTCATCGGGCACCTGCAGAGCCTGACATTTAATGGCATGGCATACATCGACTTGTGTAAAAATGGTGACATAGATTACTGTGAGCTCAATGCCAGATTTGGCTTCAGGAACATCATAGCAGACCCTGTCACCTTCAAGACCAAATCCAGCTATGTTGCCTTAGCTACGTTGCAAGCCTATACTTCTATGCATCTTTTTTTCCAGTTCAAGACCACATCTTTAGATGGACTAATTCTCTATAACAGTGGGGATGGAAATGACTTTATTGTGGTTGAATTAGTTAAAGGGTAAGTATATGCTACTGAAATGGCAAATGAGCAAGACTTTGGATAAATGGCCTTCGATTTCCAAAACTACACACTAAACAGGATGTATTACAGGTATAAAAGGTGGTAGGCAGGAGGACAAATAGTGGATTGAGTTACATCATTTATTAGGATTCTTAATTATATATGGATTCATTATATTCATTTGTGTCTACATTTTGACCTGTGTGGTACAAATGATGTCAACTTCCAATTTATATTTGGCATTCCCTGAATATCACATTTCAAATGTGTAGCTCTTGACTATGTACAATGTAATTCCACAGAAGAATTTTGGCAAGTTTATAGGCAGATGTGTGCTAAAGTAAATAGGTAATCCAAAAAAACTTAAAATTAAATGTCACAAATTTAATTTAAATGTCACCTCAGGCTTAATTCTATGTCAGAATTCCTTGAATAATTTAGAAAGAATAATTTTTTAAAATTCCATTAAAAGAAGGATAAAAATTTGATTTGAGTGTTTATTCAATCACTCAGTGAATAATATTATATGTTTACAGTGAGTTAGGTAATGTGCCAGGCTATGTAGAGGTACTTTTCCTTGCCATTTTAGTGTATATCTCAGATTCCCACCAACCATCTCACACACACACACACACACACACACACACACACACACACACACACACACACACACACACACACACACACACACACACACACACACACACACACACACACACTCCCTGACATACAATCCTAGTGTATATAAGTGAAACAAAACAGAAAAGAAAAACACTATGAAAAGTTTCCTGAGATGATCACATACAAATGCTTAGGAGAAAAGGAAATTCAGAAGACGTGTGGGGGAGGGAGTAGACATCTGAATGTGGTCTTCAAGTAGAGTGCATCTTCCTCCTAAAGCAACAAGGATTCAAAATGGAAAGGAAAACGTGCTAGAAGCTGAGAGTTACTATTTCAGTGTGGTTAGAAAGAGTAGAGGGAAATGGTGTAGGCATAGCGAAAGGGCACAGCTTCTGGTGAAGAAGTGGTTTCCTTATGCATCTGGTTACCTTGACACCAAGGCAACTGAAAGCTGCTGGGATGGATGGCACCGGCACATATCTGCTTTGCTCTATCATATCAAGACTACGAGTACATTCTTCTCACTCATAATCTTGAAAGGATAGAGCAGAGTAGACATCTGCCGGTGCCATCCATCCCAGCGTTTTCAGTTGCTTCTCACACAAGCCAGGCTGCTATGGAACTCACTCTCAGGACTTCCAGCAAGCAGAGAACCAGCTGAATGGGGGATGCATCTCTGCAGGCAATGTCTGATTCAGCTCCATCGCAGATTCAAAAAGCGATGACACTTCCTCCTTTTCCTTTTCTCCCCAGGTACTTACATTATGTGTTTGATTTGGGAAATGGTGCTAACCTCATCAAAGGGAGCTCAAACAAACCACTCAACGACAATCAGTGGCACAATGTGATGATATCAAGGGACACCAGCAATCTCCACACCGTAAAAATCGACACAAAAATCACAACGCAAATCACTGCTGGAGCCAGGAACTTAGACCTCAAGAGTAAGTACTTGCTAAGCCAGAGGCAGCAGCCTCACACCACACAGTTTCTGCCCCCAGGGAAAATCCTCTGCCTTGGGGCAGTGTGGGCTTTCCACAAGGGTGACCAGAATCTCATTTCCAGCACATGATTAATAATACAACACACAGGCCTCCGCTCTTCCTTTCATGTGGCAAGAACATATGTATTTTTAATAGCAGCTCAGAAAATGTAACACCTTGAAATGCATGCATGATTAATATTTAAAGAGTGAGAAGAATGTACTCGTAGTCTTGATATGATAGAGCAAAGTAGACATTTGCCGGTGCCATCCATCCCAGCAGTTTTCATTTGCCTTGGTGTCACGGTAACCAGATGCATAAGGAACTTATTCTCCAGCTTGTTGCTTTTCTTCCTTGATGACTTTTCCTAAATGCTTTCAAACCCTCTGGTCAACAGGAGTCTGAACCTGGAGTACCCGTGCCCACAGGAATGCCTCTTTCCTCAGCTGTTGACAGAGTCTTTGTAGGACATTTGCTTCCTCAAGTGAACAAGGCAAAATGCTTAGAGGACATGTCAGCAGCAGGCAACATGAGAGAGGTTTTACTGGAGCTGGCCTTTGTGATTTACTAAGAGTATTTGCATGTCCCATCTCATTTAACACAACAGCCACTGGGGGAAATTGTATTGTCGTGTTACTCTGAATGAAGGAAGTCTGAGGTTTGAATAATTCACTCAAGGACAAAATAGCTGCTGGGACAGAGAGAGGCTGGCCTGACAGAGCCTCTGCAACTGCCTCTCCCCTGTACCTGAAGCAGGAAAAGCCCTGCGCATATCATTGTGGGGGTGTTTGGCTTAAACAAGAGGCTTATTGCTAGTGCTGTGATCTCTCCCTTTGATTTAAAAGGCAAATCCATGGGAGAGTTAGGAAGCTGGGAAGAGAAAATCCACAGAACTCTTCCTAGAGAAAACCGATCTTTCTAAATAAGGTGAAAGGGAAAATACAAGTATTCACTCTCTGTAACTGTAGAATATCTTTACAATTCTGGGGTATTATTTGTTCCCCACACCAAATGCGTGGTAAAGCCCTTCTTCCTTCTTTCACAGTGGCCTCTTAGGAGCTTTGAAGAGCTTGCTGTGCCCCTAAATCTGATAGCTAAGCTCAAAAAAAACAAAAACAAAAACAGCAACAACAAAAACCCAGCATGGAGTTTGAAGGCAATTCTGTGTAGCAGGCAGACCTCATTCTCTCTCTACTCCTTACCAGGAGTGAACAGAGTGGGTTTGTATCAGGGTGGAGGGCCCCACGGTCTCACAGCCACCTCGGGTGATTGTGAAAGGAAAGGGGTGGATGGTGACCTTCGGTGTGCTGGCCGCTGCCATCACAGTGAAAGCAAGGCACTGTCTCGTGGGTGTGGGGGAGTCTCAGAGAGCGCAGGGAACCTCCCCGTGTCAGAGGCGAAAACCGGGACAAAAGATGTGGTGCGTGAACGTTTGAAGTATGTGAGGCCCTACGGGTCCACGGCACAGAGAAGTAGCAGTGGGCAGCAGGCGGGGCCATTTCCTTTCGGATATCAACGGTGCTGCCTCTGAGAAGCCAGCATTTGCTTGTCATTCATAAAAATACGTGAGTGTAATAGGAAGCTGAGATAAACTGGGGTGGGTAGGTGCAGGGTGCCTTTCCAAACCTTAGAAGCCTACACAGCTGACTTTCCTTAAAACATGGCATGTTTCATTATGCTGAAGATAAGGCTTTTCCTGTTTTAAAATTGTGAATTTTATCACAGATGATATATAATACAAAGATGTTAAATGCTAAATTCGAAATACCCTTCCTTTTTTTTTTTTTTTTTTTTTTTTTTTATTACCGGGGATTGAACTCTGGTCCTTGCACTTGCAAGGCAGGCCACTGAACCTCTGAGCTAAATCCCTGGCCCCTAAAATACCCTTACTTTTTGCAAAAGCACAATTAAATGTAATGTGAAATCATAATGTATTTTTAAAGCAGCTCAACCTGCAACCTTAGAATAAAATTTTTAAAGTGGAAAAAAACTAAATGTGATAAAATTTCTCAACTGAATAATTAGATTCTTTACTAATGATTATCACTTTAAACCTTGTGAAGTTCTCAGGTATTTTCAGACTTGCCAGACTAGGAGTCAAAAAGTGAGAACAAGTTCCTAGAGTTAAGTCAAGCTTTCACTCTTGTAGCGTGGGAGTGGCCTAAGGGATACAACCCCTAAGCCCCCTGTCATATGTGACCTCTGCCAGTAGGGGGCTCAAGAGTGTGATGCGGGGGTCGCCTTCCGTCAGATCACCCAATCATCAGGCACTAACCAAATGGTATTCACCGAGCCCTGAAACGTGTCAAGAGTGGAGTGCAGAGCTGGGAGAAGGATGACAGTGTCCGCCGAGAAAGCTACTGTCTTAATGAGCCGACCGATGTGGAGGCATCGCATGTAGGACAGAGAAGGAAGGGCACTTTGGAGATGGAGGCACCAGGGGGAACCTTTGAAGTAGTAAGGTTTGAGCGGTATCCGAAGGATGAGGAAGAGCAGCTCGGTTTTCTCTCTCCTTCCCACTTGGACCCGCACAGTGATGTAGGAGTAACTGAGCAGCTCTAGATTCAAGGAGAGTGAAAGTTGTCTCATTCAGTCAATAGTTTTATGGTATGTTTATTTTTCTCATAGCCTGTACCCCTAAAGAATTAATTAAAATGAATCAGATCGATTCCGCACCCTGCTCAAAGCTATTGCTGCCGTCTTTGGTTCTTCTCACGGTGAGGCCAATGGACTGAACTACGTCAGACTTGTAGGGTCGCATACATGAAACGCAAATTTCTGGATCCCAGCACAAGTCAAGGAGGCAGTTTCCATTTGAGAGGGATGTTCCAGCAATGAATTTCCTGAGAGCACTGTGTTACAGAGTCCTGAAATAGTGCAAGACCTCTGTTGGGTGGGACACCTTTAACTCTTTTTAAAAAACTGTTGTATAAATCTTTGTTTTGCTTTTATTTTGTAACTGTAGTGTTTTGTCCATTCTTGACTGAAGTTCCATTTATCCACTGATTGAGGGTTTTTTGGCTTTTTTCCCTCTTGCATTACTATACCTTAAAACGACACTAGAGGGCAGCATAAGGCCACAGACCATGCTGTATGGTGGCGGTGGGTGGAGATGACCTCAGCCTGCTCCATTTGTTCTGGGAAGCAGAATTTCTTTGTTTTCAGACATCTGAAATTCCACATTTAGCCTTTACAATGATGTATATTTTTGTCTGTAGCTCTGCTGCATTTTATATACAATTTTAGTTAGCAACCTGAAAGCTGGGCCCTTGTGTTCTGCGCCCCACCTTAGCCCCGTGGAGACGGTCGTAAACGAATAGGAGTCCCTTTGGTCCCCCGAGAGGGATTGCATGCAGGTGACCTTGTTCAAATTATCTTTCCTGACACTGCCATGTTCTCAGGGGGTTGTATGTCTCTCCCTGCTGATCCCATTTTGCTTTCATCTTTATTTCCCAGCTGTTTGTGTTCTATTCCTGCTGGCTATTGTGTGCAGTCTGCCACACACAGAAAGAGGCAGCACACGTTTGCTCTCTGGAGTCATTTCCTGCAGCAGCTTTCTATTCAGGTTGGAACTCCCAAGTCCTAATCCCTTCAGTGAGGTGAAGGGAGGGTGCAATTTCTCCTTGTGTCCCTTCTCCTGTCCCTATATTTGGCAAATTTATATATTTGTGCGTATGTGTATATGAGAAGGAACTAATAATTATTGAGACCCTACTAAAAACCAAATAGATTTTAAATGAGGTTATTGTATGCAATCCTCGCAGTTACATGAAACAGAAAAGAAGGGTCATTTTGGATCTCCACCTTTCATGGGTTCCACTCATACGTTTATCCTCGGTAAATAGAGCACAGTTTACTGGCCGGAGATAAACATAAAGATTCTTGGGTGCATGGGGTACAGTGCCCTCAAGTGGCCACAGAGCACAACTACACAAGGGAGTCATGACCGACATCCAGGTCTTCCCAGGTATTTGTGCTTCCTCCATTCCTCTCTGTCTAAAACCCTAAGTTTCTTTGCCTGTAGGGCCTTGAACTCTTGCACAACTTTATGGTCTTGGCTGGACTCTTGTCACCATCTGTCTTTTCCTTAACCCTCCTATCATCCTAAATCTCACCCTGAAGAGAAGTGCGTGTTCTGCATGTCCAGCTACCAAGCGACTAAAGGCTAACCTAATTGGAAACAGACAGGTAGGGCCTTCCATTCAAACACAGCCCAAGACATGGAAGCGCTGTTCTCGTTCTTTTCTTCTCGACCTCAGACAAGTCTATTAACCAGTTACCTTCTACAGCCCTGAAAAGGAGGTACATTTTTCTATTTTCTACCCTTTCGTATTGCTGTTTGAAAAATGTTTGCTGAGACATTTCTGCAGACTTGAAGAAAAGTCCAAAAGTACTGTTTTGTTTAACCATGCCCAAAGTTTGCAGAGCCGGCCCATAGGGCATCTGATGGCACCCTTGTCCGGCCTAGGTAATTCATTTCAGAAGGAAATGTACGGGGAAGGGCTTGACCTTGAGCGTGGCCTCAGAGAAAATGATGATGTTGGAAGTGGAAGGAGGGGCCTGCTGCCCTGCTGGATAAGCGCTCTTCATTACAGTTCTTGTTTGTAGGAGAAGGATATGTACTAACATTGCTTCAGTTTGTGGGAAATTATTTTAAAGATCCATTAGGAAGTTAGCGAGACAGACTAGAAACTCTCAGCTGCTGAATAACGAGGCCGAGCCAAGGATGAGGACTCTGTTCTAATCGTTCTGTGGGATGACACAGGGGACACTCTTGGGCGTGTGCACCCTTGGAGCCTCATCCTCTGGCTCCGTAGAGCTTTCCAGCTGTCATCAGAGCCTGGAGACCTTTTCTGTGCCCCACCAGCTTTTTTTGCTGCCACCACTAGGGGAACTCCCTGGGCTTTTGGCTTCTTCTGACTTGCGACTTCTGCCTGTTGTTTCTGCCCCTCTTCTCTCTG